CCGCGCGGAGTTATGTCGTTTTGGAACGTCATATCTCCGCGCGGAGTTATGTCGTTTTGGAACGTCATATCTCCGCGCGGAGTTATGTCGTTTTGGAACGTCATATCTCCGCGCGGAGTTATGTCGTTTTGGAACGTCATATCTCCGCGCGGAGTTATGTCGTTTTGGAACGTCATACCTCCGCGCGAAGTTATGTCGTTTTGGAACGTCATATCTCCGCGCGGAGTTAAGTCGTTTTGGAACGTCATAACTCCGCGCGGAGTTATGTCGTTTTGGAACGTCATATCTCCCGCGCGGAAAAATCATCGAAAAAGTTTCGATTGAAAAAAAAAAAAACGTGATGTAACCCCTTGCCATTTTTTCGGTTTGGGTCAAAATTTTGGATTTCCTTTTTTTGATGCCAATCGATAGCGTCGGTGTGAAAATCGAAACTTTTTCGATGATTTTTCCGCGCGGGAGATATGACGTTCCAAAACGACATAACTCCGCGCGGAGATTTTCGCATCGATCTCGATTTAAAAAAAAAGAACATTTTGTCGATTTGGGTAGAAATTTTGGATATCGTTTTTTTGATGCCGATCGATAGAACTGATCCTTACGAGTCAAAAATGGTATAAAATTGCAAAATCGGACATTATTTGACGGAAATATTCCAAAAAATCATCAAAAAGGTTAAATTTACGAACGAATCGGTTTTTTGCCAACAAAATTTTTCAACCCATCGATGATTAATTTGTTTGAATGCCAATTGATGGTAGGAATCCGTACGCATTCAAAAAGGCATAACATTTTAAAATCAGACATTATTTACCCGAGATATTAAGCAAAAATCATCGAAAAAGTTTCGATTTTCGCACCGACAACGATTTTGAGAAAAATCGTGATGATTTGAATGGTCATATCTCCGCGCGGAGTTATGTCGTTTAGGAACGTCATATGTCCGCGCGGAGTTATGTCGTTTTGGAACGTCATATCTCCGCTCGGAGCTATGTCGTTTTGGAACGTCATATCTCCGCGCGGAGTTATGTCGTTTTGGAACGTCATATCTCCCGCGCGGAAAAATCATCGAAAAAGTTTCGATTTTCGCACCGACCACGATTTTGAAAAAAATCGTGATGGTTTGGAAGGTCATATCTCTGCGCGGAGTTATGTCGTTTTGGAACGTCATATCTCCGCGAGGAGTTATGTCGTTTTGGAACGTCATATCTCCGCGCGGAGTTATGTTGTTTTGGAACGTCATATCTCCCGCGCGGAGTTATGTCGTTTTGGAACGTCATATCTCCCGCGCGGAAAAATCATCGAAAAAGTTTCGATTTTCACACCGACGCTATCGATTGGCATCAAAAAAAGGAAATCCAAAATTTTGACCCAAACCGAAAAAATGGCAAGGGGTTACATCACGTTTTTTTTTTCAAAATCGAGGTCGGTGCGAAAATCGAAACTTTTTCGATGATTTTTCCGCGCGGGAGATATGACGTTCCAAAACGACATAACTCCCCGCGGATATGATACAACCTTCCAAATCTTCACGATTTTTTTCAAAATTGGGGTCGGTGCGAAAATCGAAACTTTTTCGATGATTTTTTTTTTTAATAAGTATCTGGGGTAAATAATGTCTGATTTTAAAATGTTATACCTTTTTGAATGCGTTCGGATCCCTACCATCAATTGGCATTCAAACAAATTAATCATCGATGGGTTGAAAAATTTTGTTGACAAAAAACTGACTCGTTCGCAAATGCAATCTTATAGATGATTTTTTTGAATATTTCCGTCTAATAAAGTCCGATATTGCAATTTAATACCATTTTTTTTTTTAATCGAGGTCGATGCGAAAATCGAAACTTTTTCGATGATTTTTCCGCGCGAGAGATATGACGTTCCAAAACGACATAACTCCCCGCGGATATGATATGACCTTCCAAATCTTCACGTTTTTTTTTCAAAATCGGGGTTGGTGCGAAAACCGAAACTTTTTCGATGATTTTTGCTTAATATCTCGGGTAAATAATGTCTGATTTTAAAATGTTATGCCTTTTTGAATGCGAACGATGGGTTGAAAAATTTTGTTGACAAAAAACTGACTCGTTCGCAAATGCAATCTTTTTGATGATTTTTTGGAATATATCCGTCAAATAATGTCCGATTGTGCAATTTAATACCATTTTAGACTCGTAAGGATCAGTTCTATCGATTGGCATCAAAAAAAGGAAATCCAAAACTTTGACCCAAACCGACAAAATGGCAAGGAACGTCATATGTCCGCGCGGAGTTATGTCGTTTTGGAACGTCATATCTCCGCGCGGAGTTATGTCGTTTTGGAACGTCATATCTCCGCGCGGAGTTAAGTCGTTTTGGAACGTCATAACTCCGCGCGGATTTTGAAAAAAAAAAAACGTGATGTAACCCCTTGCCATTTTTTCGGTTTGGGTTAAAATTTTGGATTTCCTTTTTTTGATGCCAATCGATAGCGTCGGTGTGAAAATCGAAACTTTTTCGATGATTTTTCCGCGCGGGAGATATGACGTTCCAAAACGACATAACTCCGCGCGGAGATATGACGTTCCAAAACGACATAGCTCCGAGCGGAGATATGACGTTCCAAAACGACATAACTCCGCGCGGACATATGACGTTCCTAAACGACATAACTCCGCGCGGAGATATGACCATTCAAATCATCACGATTTTTCTCAAAATCGTTGTCGGTGCGAAAATCGAAACTTTTTCGATGATTTTTGCTTAATATCTCGGGTAAATAATGTCTGATTTTAAAATGTTATGCCTTTTTGAATGCGTACGGATTCCTACCATCAATTGGCATTCAAACAAATTAATCATCGATGGGTTGAAAAATTTTGCTGACAAAAAACTGACTCGTTCGCAAATGCAATCTTTTTGATGATTTTTTGGAATATTTCCGTCAAATAAAGTCCGATTTTGCAATTTAATAGCATTTTAGACTCGCAAGGATCAGTTCTACCGATTGGCATCAAAAAAAGGAAATCCAAAATTTTGACCCAAATCGACAAAATGGCAAGGGGTTACATCACGTTTTTTTTCAAAATCGAGGTCGATGCGAAAGTCGAAACTTTTTTACTTTACAAGCTGGTGAAACTCAAACGAATAATTATCCAATATTTACACCACAATTTCTTCGACGCAAAATTTGCCAAATCAACAACAATTTGCGGTTTTGTTTGTACAATAAATCCTAAAATATTTGTTTTCGATGTAACAAGAGCTTAACATGTGTTCGGTACGTGTAATGTCTTGATAGAAAACACAATTTTGAATGCAATTAAAATTAACAGATGATTTAGTTTTTCTACCTTTAATTCATAACGTCATTTGATTTGCTTGCGAGTTAAGGAATCGAGTAAAGAGTACCAACCTTTGCTAGCTAGTTCTTTTGCTCCTAAGCTGTTTAGCATTAATTAAGTTTGAGTTTAAGCGCAAATAGCCGCCACTCTGACGCATTCGCCTTGCAAGTATTTTACTGTCTGCTGGCCAAATGTTAAGCCCCACCCTGTCTACACACCCGCACAGAAATCAGCAATCCACAGGCCTCGAAGTTTAACTGTGTGCTGCCTTTTAACACTTTGCGACCCGCCGGAGCTGTCTAGTCGGTATTTATACCCTTGCTGAGGGTATAATAATCTAGTCACGATATTTGTAACGCATAGCAGGAGACGTCTTCGAACAATCAGATGAGTTTGTCTTGAAGATATTTTAGGCAAGTGTTGCTCAGATTTGTCCTGTACATATCCCAATGGTATACCAAATAACTTCACTAAGCACAATGGTTCTGTAATAAGAAGTTTGAAAAAGAATACAATGCAGATTCCTGCAAGGGTATTTAAATTTCGATGTATACTCTATACCCTTTTAAAGATGTGTAACTAATATTACAATCTATTAGAAGTTACAATTTGCAAACTTTATATAAATTTTATTTTATATACCACTTAAAAAAAGAAAAAATATCTTTTGTAAAGTATATTTTGTATAGAATTTATTGTGGTGTATATTCACCAGTTACCATTTATGTACTCAATGAAGCGTAAGGGTATCTCCTAGTCGTCCATTCCCGAGCACTGTTTTCTAACTTGCTTCATTACGTGATGTATGTAAATTACACCGGGCACACTCAGACATCCGCCGCCTATTAAATGGATTGCACTTTCAGCTGTTGTTGTTATCAACTATCATCAATTCTACTTTGCAACGGTACGCATCAACGCACTAAACTGGCATTTTTACACCTAAGTAGAGAGTATATGGAATGGAGCCGCAGCCAAAGAACGGCTGGCTATGCGGGGCTACTTTTTACGGCTGATTAGGTCCCGTCCCAGCTTTACGAATATTTATGTTCTCCCATTCTTGTATGCATATATATTTCCCTAGTAAGCCAACTATTGGCCGAAACTTAGTCTTGCCTTTTTCCGCCCTTGTGAAGAGTATTACAGTTTTATTCATTTAACTTAATTTGAAAGGCCGAATGGATCGGTTGAAAATTGTGTTCCAATGCTTATCAAAATATCTTAAGCACAACTCTTGTAAAGTATGAACAAAATCATAAAAAAGGTTTGTAGGCATACCGAATTTTAACTGTTTTGTGTATAGACAGAAATTAGGTTCAGGGTATGACATAGCCGGGCACTCCCGCCTAGAGCACTCTTACGTGCTTAAGCTATCTTGAAGAATCTTTCAATCTATTTGTCTATTGTTTGGACAAGAACTCATATATATGTCGGAGTCAGCCGGGTCGGCAGCCGCAAAATAACTATTAGTTCATGTTCTCATCGAATTGTTGTTTAAACACTTTCCTCAACACTAGTCTACTTTGCTTCACAGGTATTGGCTGAGGTGTGATCCTCCATCAGGCAAATGTCTGCAAGGGAATATCACTTTTGGCACCCCTAGGATAATTTATTCATAACAATAACTTCATTTCATTGTGCACTAAACCAGAATCTTCTCTTCTTGTGTGTTTGCAGGTCCCACGGCCGTTCAAATGGTGTCCCACAACCGCCAGCCGCCGACGATGACGATGCCGGTGCAGGTGCCACCATATGTAAATGAGAATGGAACACTGACCCATGTTGTGCTGCCACCGCAGCAATACCAGCAGTTGCATACCGGACAGGGCCATCTGCATGCAGCGCCATTTGTAAGTAACAAATTTTCAAATTACAAATTGACAATTGACAGCAGCCCAAGTGTTAATTACAAGTGCACTTCATGCACAGCAGAATATCACTCACCAAAGTTATTGTACACTTTTTCAAGGGTGAATTATAGCCGTTCGACCGGGAAACATTTAATCATGCTGACATACGGGCTAGCTTATCCAATTGTTGTAACACCTTGATGGTCGTCACATTATCATTAGGCAGGTATTTCGTAGATTCGCTCATAAACATAGTCCTCCAGTTGCCATCAAGTTGGGATGGATCTTTTGACAAGCATGCAAATTGTCTCAAATGAATATTCACAAAACATTCTATCGTTTTTTGCCTATTTTTCACAGTTGCGGAATATGCAAAGCTGACATTAATTAAATTAACATGGGGAAAGATCTTTAGTCTTTTTCATAGAGAAAGTTATACAAAGAGATAAAAGCAAATGAAATGTATTAAACACACAATCAGATACATTTTTATTACCCCAATCTTCGATCCCACGATGGCCAGAACTCCTAAGCTGCGCGAGCTCTTGCTGTCATGCTTTCCCCCCTTACATTTCTAGATAAAAAGAAGCACCTGTATAAATTTTAGCTAGCTACTCTTACTTGTGAGTTGGCCAGTAGCCAGTCAGGCGGTCACGCTTTCCTAGCTAACCAGCAGCGTAATATAAAACTAATAAAATTTATAGCCTATTGAGCGACGATCGTCAACAGCAATTAAAATCTGCCGCAACAACAATTGGCAATGCAAAATATATTTTCAAGCTAAATACAAATTGTTTAAATAAGCCAAGTGCGAGTGCGATGTACCTTAATGCAGACTAGGAGATACCCTGCACTCAGATATCTTTTTCACTTTAATAAATAGTTTTTCAATCTACTTCAATGTTTATTGTCGAACTGCTAGAGAATTTTCGGCCATAAGATCTGTATGTGATTCTCTTTGAGCTTGGCGCGACTTTTCGTTGGGGCTTAGCCTAAAGCTAGCTTGCATTGCAAAATCGAGAGTTAATATGCTCGCTGTGTAAGCAGAGTACATATAATATATTACGTACCTAAAGTTTCTGTCGTACAAACCAGATTCCGCTGAGGTTTTCCTGGAACCAGACAACGGGCTTAACCCAGCCATCTGTTAATTTGCAGTGTCGTGCCGGCAAAGCAACAATTGCTACAATAACTCAAATATACGTGCATATTATAAATTAAAATGGCAAGTGCAAAATGAGGCGATAAAAGTCCAAGCAGGCCTTCCTAAAATACACAAAAAACAACTTAAAATAATTAAAAAACAATAATAGAAACAGTTTACAATTAGCTTAATCATTTGCAATATTTGCGGCTGTTTTGCATAGTTAAGATTCCTTACTTATGAATGGAATGGAGCGAATTGCATTAGTTGCTGGTTAAAAGTTTTTACTGCTAAGATTGCTAACTTCAGCTTTTAAACTTATGCGAGCTGAAGAAAGTCTTCAGCAAACCTGGTAAATGAAAAATTGTAACATCATCTGACTGAAATGCAAAATCTCTTGCTTGGAGCATTCCACAGAATCAATATACAATTTATGATATATTGTATTTTTTGTTGGGTAGTTTTACATCACCCGAACCACTGTGCAGCTGTTAAACGACTCACTCATACGTATGTATGTATGTATGCGTGAACATGTTATTTACAGCCCGATATTTAGGCAGAGGGAGGCTTGTTATTACATCTTATTCCTGTCGTAACTGTTGCCGTGCTGCCATGCTGCTGGCAATCTTATTACGATAAGGTTCGGTGTTCATCTAACTCCGCCTTCAGTGAGCATTGCTGGCACACAGCATAGATGCTGCGTACATAGATATATATTTTATACTTATATACTTAACTGCCGTGGGCTGCACTCGGCACCAGTCACCCACTGGCATTGTGGTGTACTAAAACTGAAATATTGCAGTGCCAACAGCTTCATCCGGGGTCCGGGGTCATATGTAGAGCAGCAGAAACATCGTTGCCGACGACGCGTCGTCACGCTTAGTTACTGAAATAAAAGTGACGGGCATTTTTTTTCATACTCTTAAAGAGGGTTGTCTAATTTTGTCAAATAATTCGAACTACTAAGAGGCAAACATTCATAAGGATTAAAAATTGATCCGATGTGGGCATATCCATTCATTATATTTTATGCACTGGGATGGAAAGTTCGCATTTGTAAATGAGATTACAGATATATTATGCATAATTCTGCTAGGGTATTTAATCTTCGGTACACTTCTTTGTTTTTCCATTTAAATTTTCTGTTCCAAATTTTCATGACTGTAGCAGCCACAAATTTACTGAGACGAAAGCCAACTTCCGCTTCATTTTCGCAATCTCATTATCACTTGATTGTATGCTAATTTAAATAGCTAGACTCGTATACCCTTGCGTAAGTATTATAATTTTGACACAAAATGTGTGACGCATACAAGTAGACAATTTCGAACAAATATAGTATGTATGAACATGTCTTGATCAGATCTTGATATTCTATAATCTCTCAGCTTTAAGGCTCTCTTCACAAATGTATTATATTGTATGAAAAACTTCTGTTTTTTGAGACAACTCAACTAAGCTCAGCACATAAACACTTTTATTATATATATATTATAAATGGATTCTTTATCTACCGGAATTAAATATTTCTTGGCAATAGATTTTGTGTGAAAGACTCGGATGACAATCAATTAAATAATAGTCTTATAAATCTACATATGACAAAGCAGGTCTCGGAGATGAGATCTAGAAACCAAAAATTTGCTATTTAGGTTCACGTATATTCAATATTTTTCTAAAATTAACAGTATTAGCATTTTAGGAGGATGCTGATAGTAAAATGGGACTTATGCGAATTCCATAAACCTGTTGTACTTTTGTGTACAATATACAGGGTATCTCCTCGTTAAGTATTGTAACTTGCATTTCATTATTATGTGTTATATGGTTCACGTAAACCAAAAAACTAGGTGGTGCACTTTTTAAAGTTTCTGGCGCGACCGTATTTAAAACGTACAATTTGCCAACGTGATGGCAATAATCGCACCACTTGGCACACATTTTACATAATGCTAGGAAAATACGTTAATATCCGGCTTATGCAACTAATGTTTTAATATTGGCATCGTCACATTTGGCTCGAACGCTAATTTTTCTTGTAATCGAGCAATTTTACCAAATCAAATGCTTTGAATTACTCTCTGTAACGCAAATGCGCGCGCAGCGTTCATCGGGCTTGTTTAACAGCTGCATGTTTGCAGAACAGCGTTGCCAGAGTCAGTATGTAGCGATATTTTTCTACCGATAGATTTTTGCAACGCGAGCTTTTTGACGTTAGATGCCGAATTAAAGCCCGTGAAAATGCAAATTTAATTTTATTGGAAAATATCTAGCATTCAGCAACGATTGAAAAACTCCGCCTGTTTATATTTATATGCATATGCAATACAACACAACTATCATTACCACCACTATCGCAATCCTAACAGACACATTTGAGCATAACAGAGAATTAACATAACATAAGAAATGCTTGTGTTTACGAGTGAAATACAGAACGTTCAATTTGAAAGAATTTGTTGAATATTCACAACAATAAAAATAAAACTGTCTTTCAAAAATTAAAACAAACTCTAGTTCCGGTAGTGATGAGTGATTTAAAAAGTGATTTTTTGCGATTGCTTATCAGCGCGTAGTTGGCGTTGGTTTATTTATAGTTATCGTTGACGTGGTTAAATTTTGCACAGTCGCTGCCTGAAATGAAGCCGAAGAAGATTCAAGAATCTGCGACGACGACCACGTCGACAACTAAAACAATTGTACATGTACTTAGCGAAATTGGTATTGGTCACAATTGAACTAAACATTTTATTCCGCTTTCAGATAAGCAGCAATGGCACATCGCATTTTTATACGCCGCTGCCTGGCTATCCTCCAGGTCCTGGGCCGGCTGGCAATGGGCCGCCTCACTATCATATGCCACCGCCGCCGCCGCCACCAGGCGCCCAGCAGCAGCCCACGTCTGCGGCGGGCGGCGGAGTGCCTCCGCCAACGCCACAGCCGCATTTACATTCCCCGCACTCGCCATCACCACCCCACTATAGGGACGAGCGCAGTCAGCGGCAGCACATGAAGATGCTACGCAGGTTGGAGAAGTGGCGCGAGCTAAGAAGTAACTAGACTAACTAACTCATCGTTTTAGAAGAAACTTATTGTTCTGTTCAATCCACAGACTCCTCCATGTCCACGCCCACGCACTCGCCCTCTCCGCGACGCAGTGATACCAATGGGCATTACAACAACAACAGCAGCAACAACAACATTCCAGGAGCACAGCAGCAGCACAACACTCACATGCCCAACCATGGACGCCACGTGCCACACCAACAGCAGCAGTCGCAGCAGCAGCAGCAGCGCAACGCGGCCGTTCTGAACCCGACTGGGCAACAGGGGGAAGTTGCCACGGGGAGCAATGCGGGCGGTACCAGCTCTGTGGGCACTTCTGACGATGGTGAGGACACTTCGAACTTGGCCCCCGAAGATGAAGAGGACTACAAGGCCTTGATTGTGGAACAAATATCGGCCATCGATAAACCAGAGGTGATCGACGTTAGTTCGCGCACCGCAAAAATCATTTGGGTCCCACCGTCCATTTCGGACGCGATGCTGCTAAACGTGCGAGACCTGCGCTACCAAGTACTACTTAGTGACACGGGAAAACAATGCAAGTACAAGAGTCTCTACCGCGGAGAGGCATACGAGTGCATTGTCCAGGATCTGCAGCCGGGGCAGGAGTATTTGGTGCGGCTGCAAGTGCACTATCAGCAGCTGCAAGGAAGCGTTAGCGAGCCCGCCGAGTTCAAGACGCCCGCTTGCGAGCCGGATCAGCCGCTGCCGCCGAAGCTGGTGTCGCGCACCAAGAGCTCTATTAACTTGCGCTGGACGGCGCCGGCGGCCAACGGTGCACCAATTCAACACTATCTGTTGGATTACGACGAGGGGCGTGGCAATGCACTGCAGTTCGTGGAACTGGCCAAGGTCCGAGCCAAGCATTACGTGCTAAACAAGCTGCAGGCGACGACAGTTTATAGCTTTCGCCTAGCCGCCGTTAACGAGGTCGGCCAGTCAGCGTACTCGCAGGTGACCAGCTATAGTACAGCCGGCAATCCGCCCACAGCGCCCATGGCACCCCAGTTGCAAGCCTGCAGCGCCAACTCGCTGCACCTCGTCTGGGATCGGCGGCCCCAGGACGGCGACTTTCTGCTGCAGCTGCAGGATGCCGAGTCCGGACATGGTTACCTGAACAGCTACAAGGGAGGCGACACCCACTATGAGTGCCTGCAGTTGCGCCGCGCCACCAGCTATCAATTTCGTTTGCGCACTGAAAACGATGCCGGAGTTTCGCCCTGGTCCCCGGAGGTCAATTACAGTACGGCTGCAGAACGCCCTGGGCGACCGGGAAAGCCGCATGCAAAGGGCAAGATACACGGTACACACTTCAAGGCGCGTTGGGAGCCACCTGCGGACACGGGTGGATCCGAAATATTGCGCTACCATCTGGAGCTGAGTGCCGGACCCAGTTTTGAGCGCATTTACTCTGGCAGTGAGACCGAGGCTATGTGCGAGCGCCTTCAGCCGGGCATCACGTACCAGTTGCGTGCCTGCTGCGAGAGCCCCGCCGGCCAAAGCCCGTTCTCGGAGATTGCACATGTGACCACGGAAGCAGTGCCACCGGGCGCTCCGCCACAGCCTCAGTGCGATGCACCACCAACACCTTACGCGGCTCTGCTAAGGCTAACCCATCCTGAGAATAATGGCGGGGCACCAGTTCTCGAGTTTGAGGCGCAACTCCGCTGCCTGGACATGTTAGAGCAGTCGCCAGCGCAGCCGTCACAAATCGTATACCGCGGCAAACAGGACTTCTTTGTGGCACAGCAGCTGGCGCCAGGCGGTCTCTACGAGGTGCAAGCGCGTGCCATTAACCGCGTCGGAGCGGGCAATTGGTCTCAGTGGCTGCGCTTTACAGCCGCCGCAGCACCACCTGGGCCGCCCAATGCGCTCCAAGTGTTGGTCAAGTCCGCCACACATTTAAGCGTCAATTGGCAGCCGCCTGCGCTGCTCAATGGATCAGCCGTCAGTGGCTACACCTTGCAGAGCGCCAGCCAGCAGCTGGATGAGCCGCAAGTGGAGCCGCCAAGCACACAGTTCAACGGGTGCTACCAGGGTCCGCAGACCTTTGTTGAGCTGCGCAATCTGACGCCCTACACGCGCTATTACCTACGCGTGCTGGCCAGCAATGCAGCCGGCACGGGACCTGCTACGGACGTGGTGTGCGTCGCAACACCCGCTGCAGTGCCGGGCGCGCCGCAAATGCAGGCCTACGAGTTCACCGCCACGGAGGTAACACTGAACTGGACGGAGCCGGCCTCGCATGGCGCTGCAATCTGCAGCTACAATATTGAGTATGGAGAGCGGACGATTGCTACACCCGATGCCTGTACGCGATACACGGTAGTTGGGCTAACACCAGAGACCAGTTACAAGTTCCGCGTGCAGGCGGTAAACGCGATAGGCGCCGGAGTTTTTAGTGCTTATGCCAAGCTAACGACGCAGCCGGCGCCGCCAGCTCCGCCCAGGCTGGAATGCAGCGGTACTGGCCACAACTACATAAAGCTTAAGTGGAGCGAAAGCGTCAAAACCGGCGGCCCTTACGCTGTGGCGAGCGGTGGTGGTGGTGGCGGCGGCACAATCGGTGCTGGCAATACGGATTTCACCAAGTACTACGTGGAGATGTATGTGGCAAGAGCGAAACAGTTTCAGACAGTCTATTCGGGCACCAACTGCATGTGCAAGATCCACAAACTGCAGGAGCGCAGCAGCTACACATTCCGCATCTATGCACACACGGACCGCGCCGGCGACGGCGAATACTCCGAGGAGTATATATTCGAGACGAGCGCCACGCTGCCGGCCAATATTAAGGCGCCGCGCGTGGTGCACGAAAGCGTCTGCCTGCTGGACCAGGCTAGCCAGCCGCTCATGCAGCTGACTCTCGAGTGGCAGCATTCGAAGAACAGCTTCAGCGATCGCGTCGAGTACGAGCTGCAGTATGCTATTGTCGCCTCCTCCGACCCAGACTCTTCCAGCTCGCCCAAGGCGCGCAGCACTAGCGGCAGCAGCAGCAGCAACGGGCCCAATGTCGCTGTAAACAATCTAGACTACAGACAGCTGTATCGCGGACCAGAGACCAAGTTTACCATAGACAATCTGACGGCAGGAACTTGCTACCAGTTTCGGGTGTGCCCGGTGCGTGTCACCTCCGGCGGAGAGCTGCTGCACGGTCAATCTTCGACGGCACTGCGCTATCAAGTGCCCAGCGAGCTGGACGCTAGCTCCGCTTCCTGTCATCATCTGCATGGGTCCACAGCAGCTCCAAATCAGGTAACGCAGCGCGCTAGCCGCAAGCTATTGGAAACTAACGGCCCCTCCGGCGGGCTGCATCAGCGCTCGGTTAGCGCTTCGGCTATTAGCGGCAACAGTGGAGTTGGCGCGGATGCTCAGGCGATTGGCCGGCTACAGCATGAGCTGTCGGCCGCTGGCTTCAATGCTTGCAGCGACCCGCTGCATCATCACCATCATCATCATCATCACCATCATCAACAGCATCAAGCGTGCCCCGGTGAGGCAACCGCCTCAAGTCTGGCTGCTCCATCCGCCTCCGGCTTGCAACTGCGCGGCAACAGCAGTGCCGCTCATCACATGCACCACCAGCACCACTTGCACCACTCGCACCACATGCATCATGCGCATTTCACGCACGCCTCTGCCGCCGGCGCCGTTATGGGTTCCCCAAGCAACAGCAGCAATTACAGCGTACCACATGGCAGCGTCCTCAGACGCTTCGCCTCCTGGCTGACGGCGCTCTACTATAACAGGAAGCGGCTGACGGACCAACAGAAGGCGGTCTTCTTCGTGGTTTCATTCGTGTTTGTCACATTCCTGGTTGCCATGCTGGTGCACATGCTTTGTGGCTGAGCTGGTGTTCACGGCGAACGCGACTCCACACTGTAAAGGTTAACACAAATCCCAATTGGTGTCTCAAAAAGTGATTTCCATTGACTAGCTGTAAATCACTTGCATTTGTTTTCTTTTTTATTTTTTATATGTATGTATGTATGTATATATATAAAAATCCATTGTACATCTCCAAAATATAAAAAGGAAACAACAATAACACACACACACACACACACACACACATTCACAAACAATTCGTAATTACATTATAATGAATCTACACAATTAACATTCTTAAGAACCTTTTATTTACACCTGCAAACAATGATGGCTCGAGGAAAGAGCATCAATGTTTCCTAACGGAACACAATGTTTCTTCATTTAAATATATATATATTTGTATTTGTATTTATTTATGTATGTGACTTACCACATATTTAATCAATTACACACAAGCATACTGTATACTACACACAAAAATCTCCATATGTGCTATAGCATTTTGTGCAACAAATTCTCAATGTACATAAAACAAAACAAACAACAACAAAAACAAAACAACTAAGCTTAAAAAGTACGTCTTAAAACCTTTACAACGCCTATTTTAATGTTTACTGCATTGTTGTTGCATGTATATATATATATATATACACCTATATATATATATATATATACTTATATATACATGGATGTATGTGTATGTACGCACTATAAATATTTAAACGAGTTATAAACAATGAATACCGAAAATTATGAATTTATGAGACGATGTTTCAGATGATAGTATAAAACTGATAACAGGCATTACTCTATGTGTGTGTGTTTGCAAATGTATATGTATCTATATATCTTAAAACTAACCAACTATGCAAACAATTATAAATTATATCTTTAGTGCTGTACAATTGTTCTCGATAGCCAATCGATGGATGCAGATAGATCCACAGCCCATTCCGGACTGTTGACAGTCAGGTGGAACGGTGTCCATTTCGAGCTAGTTTAACAGACGCTTCTTTCATTCTCTCAACTTTCCATGTGAAATATAAAAAACACAATTTATTATTATTACAAACCTAAATAAACATCGATGACATATATATATATATATATATAAAATGATAAAGATATCGTAGCATACAATCCAATTATACCAGAGCTTACATGAATTATATCGTGTTAATGGCGGAACATTTGTTGGTTATTATTGACCCTATGCTACGGAGATTTTGCGACCCCAGCTAGGCAAAGCTCTCGTTTATATAAATACACAATATACAAAAAAAAAAACAACAAAAAACAAAAAAAAATACACAATACAAACAAATATACTTATATATACATGAATATATTTTTTACACAAAATAAAAAAATAAATAAAAAACAAATTATTTAGTCCATACGATAAAATATTTGAAATTTATAGCCTAATGCAACGCAAAGTGATTTATATTCCAATTATTATTATTTTTTCTAATTAAATAAATTAATGTAATCGTTTCTTTCCATAGTTTAATATGAAATTTAAAGAATAATTACAAAATAAAAAAAAAAAACAAAAAACAGAAGATATGTATGTTTACAACGGTAAATGGTTACAATATATAAATGATTCTATTAGCACTATATTGTACTATTTGTCAAATTATTTGTTTATTATACAGGCATATATATATATATATATACATATATATATAAATATATATATGTATATGTAATGCATATTTATAATAATTATTTGCAAGAGTATATATACACATATATATGTACATGAATATATTTATCTTTTTATATATATATGTGTGTATGTATAAAATAAATGCGATATACAAAAAATTTATGGTGTTTTATAGATTGGTTGTCAATTACTTGCATATTTCAGGCGGGATCCCGAAAAGAAGATTTCCTGCGCCCAGAAACGAACTTACCTAAGTTCGATGTATTCTATTTGTGGATACGAAATTAAGCTCTTTTTAACTCCAGAATGTGGTTCTGATAATTGTTCTATCACTAACAGCGATGCATATGAAAGCATATAGCATTAGAAACAGTCATCAATAAATATTACTGATAATCTACTTCCCAAACAATTTCTTCTGCCTCCAATGTGCAAAGATCGGTGGAACTTATCTTCTTTATAACAAGACTCAAAACTCTTGAATGGTCGCGGCGAAAAAAATGTGACAAAACTTTAAAGAATTTTCTCCATGAGAAAAAAACCAAAACACGTTTCAAATATTCATTACGATTCTTGAAAATGAGTTTGTATCCGAAACTTCACCCAACAAATCTTTAACTCCGATTTTCACCAAAGAAAATTGTGCTCACTTGTAAGGATAATTTCAAAGTGTTTCACACTAGAATTCATTTTAAGGACAGATTCGGCGTTAAGCAGAGTTTTGCTTATATTTTAAGTTTAGACGGTCGACACTTATCCCGAATAAACTATACACAGTAAGTAAATTTCGCACTTAAAATAATTGTTGTGCTAATAACGCACGTTTTCATCTTTATTGTTAACAAATGATATTACTATTATATTCAGATAAAGCAATTCGCACCATAAATACAAGTATTTACTTAAGATCAGGTGTTTTAACAATCTTAAATGATATTGACATAGACATATGTAGCTTCAAGTCGGACGTTATCGTGTTTGTTGATATGTAGATGTTTAATTAATATATATGGTATAAGTATGTGTATATTAAATATATATATATATATATTTGTATAACATTTAAAGTACCTACATATTCGTTTATCCGTTTATCGCAGTTGTTGCATAACATATTCCTGCTATGCAATGATTTCTTTAGATTAGGTGCTACTATAGGTCACAATAGGTTTCGTTATATTTAAGTCTGGGGTATTGTGAACAGTAATAAAGCTTTAACTAAATATATGTGAGTAAGTAAAAATTCGTTTTGCCTACTCGCTTGCAGTTACTAAAACCCATCCTAAAAATGTAGCTCACAATCGTATTATTGTTCAATCTACAAATACAAATACATATACCTATAGGTATTCACTATATAGGCGCTAAAATCATCAAGAGTTTGCAATTCGTAGTTTATTGTTTGTTGAGTTTGGTTAAAATCGGTGTATAAAATGTTGTGCTCTTTGCCCCGTACGTATGAAACATGGAAAAATGCTTGGCCTTAAATCCATTCCGAAATCAACATCACACTGCGTTTCTCTAAGTCCAAGTTTAGTAATTTAATATTCCTCCAAAACTTGTGCTTTTGTTAAACATATATAAATATATATGTATAGCTTTGGTTTATACAAAAAATACTTCTAATGCTAAGGCAGCTTTCAACATCGATATGGGATAGTTGTATTTCGTATTCAATTAGTTAGCTCAACGGCTCAAATCCAAAGGCCAGTCACACGATATATATATATATATGTGTGTGTGTGTGTGTGTGTTGAGTGGGGTCGACATGGACACTGTTCCAGGATAGGGTTCTTGGCGTTCATGCCTAGTGATTGGTAATAGTTGTGGTAACAGGGTATATCGGAATTGTGTTTATTTTACGCTTAAGATCCCGAAGTTTTATTGAATAATATTCAGCCAATGGTGCCCATTGTGGAGACGCAGCTGCTGCCGATTAGTGGCTCGCGCGAATTGACGGACGTGTTGGATGGATCGATGGAGAGGGTGAACTCCGTTGAGGCCTCAACCGAGTCGTGCTGACTCTGAGTTTGCTCGTGGCGCCGCGGCTTGACCACCTGGCCTGGATCCTTGTGCGGCACGCTGCCGCCTTGGGCGCTAGCTGCCGGATAGCTGGAGACGCGCTTAAGGGTCTGTGCGGAAAAAACCAGGAGTTGGGAATTGATGTGTCGCTCAGATTTCGCGGGGCAAGTACGAACCTTGTCAGTCAGCAGCTCGGCAGCATTGGCAGCCGCAATGGATTCAGTTACGGGACAAATGTTTTTACTCGAAGAGAACTTTTTGCGTTTGCGCTTCAGAGCTGCAATGGCAGTCAGACCTGGAAGGAACTCTAGTTGGTTTACACACAGCCACGAGCTCAAGGCACTCATACGCACCGGAGGTCGTGTGAAAGAAGTGGGCGCCCATGCCCACATGCGAGTGTCCCGACGTGCTGGCCGGAGGAACCGGCGCCACAGCTGGTGGCTCCGCTCCGTGGTAGGCGTAGGTGCGTTGCGTTGAGCTTTGCGCATATGTTACCCGCACCTGCTCGTGCACGGGCGTGGCATTGTGCGTGGAGTTGCAGACGGAATCCTCGGACTTGGAGCGTCCCAGCATTTTGCTCATGTTGCCCACCTTGGCGGCCTCAATGAGTGTGCCTTAGAGCACGGCAGATTAGTTTCCGGCCGTGGCCTTGCCAAGATGAACATACTCACCCCAGCGTTTCTTGTGTCCCGCTATGCGCTTGTTGTACTTCAGCGTCGACTTGTTGTACTTGGGGGCAGCAGGAGCCGCCGATGCCGTCGATGCAGCTACTGAGCTGTGCGTAGGCGAGGTTGGGGACTCGGCGCCAACCATTCCGCCCGTGGTATTCTGACGTCTGTGGATGAAATTGGGTGTGAACAGGGTGGACAGAGTCGAGCTGAGAATCTCATGCTGGTTATCGTAGTTGTCGAGCGATGTCGAGAACTCGGCCACCGGCGCCAGCGAGCTCGTGGAGCCGGGTGGTGCGATATTGAAACCCTTCATGAGGCGTCGCTCCTTCTGGCGATTCTTCTTGCCACCGCCACCTGCAAGCGGGTCGAAGAGAGACTTAATGTAGTGCGCGGAGTGCGTGTGATAGGGCATCTTACCACCACCTTGACCTGCAGTCACATTCGTGTCCATGCCGCTGTTCTTCAGTATCTCGACCAGCTCGCAGCGGAAGGCCGAAATGTCCTGCTTAATCTCGTTTACGTCGTCCTCGGTGACGCCCTGTGACTCCGCTTTCCTCTGCTCCACCGTCACATAGCGGCGTACCAGGTTCCGCATGATCTGCTGATACTTGAAATCCCTGTCACTGGCCTGCTGCGCCTTGCGCTGTCCAGGATGGAGTCAACAGTTCATAAGGTGTGCACTTGCAGGATTTGCCACTTACCCGTATTGTCTTGAGGTGCTCGCGGCGGGCTGCGGAGGAGCCGCTGCAGAACATCTGGCGCATCCACTTGCTGGCATACCATATTGACTTGGGCGTGGGAATTATATTGAACGGCGGCGGACAAGTGCCGCCCTCTTCAAAGTAGCTGATCCACAATTTGGAGCGGGCGAATTTCCACTCAACATCGGCACGTTCCTGCAGCGAAATGCAACTCATTAAAGG